CCAGACTTAACCACTACTACTGTGCATCAAGATTTACAAATTTGCACATACCTCTTGTTTTATGTTTTCCCTTATCCCCCCCCTTTTCCCCTCTTTAAACGCCCTCAGCACCTAATGTTGTTTTTGTTGGTCTGTCCGGTTCTGACACCCATGAATACCATATTAGAGTGTGAGAGGAAGTCTATTTTAGGAATGTCTTTTGCATTAGACTAATAAAGTATCTTCTAGATTTTTATTCAAGGGACAGATTCTCTTTTCTTACATAATAAATCCTGTTTAAGTCCCCTCTCCCCAAAGTTTCTCCCCCCATCCATCGCACCTATACTTCAGATGGAAGTTGGAAAAGGGCAAACCCTATTATTTAGGGTGAAGGAGGTAAGTATGATGATTTATTTTTAATTTGGTACTATTTTGATTGGGGTACTATTGCCAGCCAGGGGGAACACAGAATGTAAACCCCTCCTTATGGTTTAATTAATTAGAGCCCCCTACTTGCCACACATGAGTGTGGGCTCAGGGGTGGGGATATGGGGGGCGAGACTAATTCCAACACCATAAATATGTGATTCCAGACATTGGAAACAGGTCGGAATCATTTGTCTAACAATGGCTGAAAGACATACAAGGATAAAATGAGAAAGAGGCTAAAACAAGAGAAAAATAGCAGGCTGCAAAAGCCAGCCCTGCCTGAAACCTAGCATCTGGTCATTTTGCCTGTCTGGTGTTTCCTGCCGGATCTTTGCTACATTACTGACTAATTTCCTGGACTCTGACTTCTGCCTGCTTTACCAACTTCTGCTTCTCGTCTGACCCTGCCTTTGGATTTCCCCTTAATCTGTAGTGCGCTTCTGGTTTTTGCCTCCTCCCTGTGCCATCTCCTGCAACTGGGCTCCAAATTCCTGGTGAACTGTTACATAATGACCAGATCGACTATCATGGAGCCCGCGGAGATGTTGAATGTCCTGAGAAACCCTCACACAGCAAGTGGCCTTCCTGTCTCAAACCATAAGTGAATTGCAGCGTGGCTATGCTGATTTAAAGTGGAACACTCACCATGCTCCTGAACCTGATATTGCATTGCCTGAAAGATTCACTGGTCGCAGGGCTTCCTTCCGCTTCTTTATCACAGACTGTGAAAGCCTGTTTGTACCTAAACCCCGTACCTATGAAACAGATTTTGTTAAAGTAATAACTGTCATCACCCTGTTATCCGGCCAACCCAAGACCTGGGCTCATCAACAGCTATATGCCAAAAGCCCTGTACTGGACATCTGGGAATCCTTTGCTACAGCCTTGACATCCTTGTATGAGGACCCCTTGCATGACTCCACAGCCAGGACTTCTCTCTGTTCCCTTAAACAAGAAAACCGTCCTGTGGAAAATTATATCACAGAGTTCTGTGGCTTGTCATCAGACACTGGACTCAATGAAACCGCCCTAGTGGACCAATTCCACCTTGGATTAACTGAAACCCTTAAGGATAAACTGGCACGAGTGGGAGTTCCAACCTCCCTGGAAAAATTAATGGTGCTAGCCACCCAGCTGGATCACTGGTTCAGAGAAAGAATGCAGGAGCGATTAAACTTCAAACTTCTGACTTAGAACATAGCTCCTCGAATGGGGTCATAAGTCTGTGGAGCGACTGTTGGCATGGAATCGAAGAGTGGAAGTGCTTAATCTGAATATTATTAGGTTTCCCGGCCACTTTCAAGGAGTTGGGCTGAGGGGACACAATAGGTTTTCCCCATTATATTATAACAGTCCCCACCAAGGTGGCCAGCCACCACATAATTAACCCTCATAATGCCGAGGGTTATATACAGTCAGGTCCATAAATATTGGGATATCGACACAATTCTAATGTTTTTGGCTCTATACACCACAACAATGGATTGGAAATTAAATGAACAAGATGTGCTTTAAGACTGCAGACTTTCAGCTTTAATTTGAGGGTATTTACATCCAAATCAGGTGAACGGTGTAGGAATTACAACAGTTTGTATATGTGCCTCCCACTTTTCAAAGGACCAAAAGTAATGGGGCAGTTGGCTGCTCAGCTGTTCTATGGCCAGTTGTGTGTGTTTTCCCCTCATTATCCCATTTACAAGGAGCAGATAAAAGGTCCAGAGTTCATTTCAAGTGTGCTATTTGCATTTGGAATCTGTTGCTGTCAACTCTCAATATGAGATCCAAAGAACTGTCACTATCAGTGAAGCAAGCCATCATTAGACTGAAAAAAACAAAACAAACCAATCAGAGAGATAGCAAAAACATTAGGTGTGGCCAAATCAACTGTTTGGAACATCCTTAAAAAGAAAGAATGCACCGGGGAGCTCAGCAACACCAAAAGATCCGGAAGACCACGGAAAACAACTGTGGTGGATGAACGAAGAATTCTTTCCCTGGTGAAGAAAACACCCTTAACAACAGTTGGCCAGATCAAGAACACTGTCCAGGAGGTAGATGTATGTGTGTCAAAGTCACCAATCAAGAGAAGATTTCACCAGAGTTAATACAGAGGGTTCACTACAAGATGTAAACCATTGATGAGCCTCAAAAACAGGAAGGCCTGGTTAGAGTTTGCCAAACAACATCTAAAAAATCATTCACAGTTCTGGAACAACATCCTATGGACAGATGAGACCAAGGTCAACTTGTACCAGAGTGATGAGAAGAGAAGAGTTTGGAGAAGGAAAGGAACTGCTCATGATCCAAAGCATACCACCTCATCAGGGAAGCATGGTGGTGGTAGTGTCATGGCGTGGGCATGTATGGCTGCCAATGGAACTGGTTCTCTTGTATCTATTGATGATGTGACTGCTGACAAAAGCAGCAGGATGAATTCTAAAATGTTTCGGGCAATATTATCTGCTCATATTCAGCCAAATGCTTCAGAACTCATTGGACGGCGCTTCACAGTGCAGGTGGACAATGACCCGAAGCATACTGCAAAAGCAACCAAAGAGGGAAAGGGAAAGAAGTGGAATGTTATGCAATGGCCAAGTCAATCACCTGACCTGAATCCGATTGAGCATGCATTTCACTTGATGAAGACAAAACTGAAGGCAAAATGCCCCAAGAACAAGCAGGAACTGAAGACAGTTGCAGTAGAGGCCTGGCAGAGCATCACCAGGGATGAAACCCAGCGTCTGGTGATGTCTATGCATTCCAGACTTCAGGCAGTAAGTGACTGCAAAGGATTTGCAACCATGTATTAAAAAGTGAACGTTTGATTTATGTCTGTCCCATTTCCTTTGGTCCCTTAAAAAGTGGGAGGCACACATACAAACTGTTGTAATTCCTAGACCGTTCACCTTATTTGGATGTAAATACCCTCAAATTAAAGCTGCAGTTAAAGCACATCTTGTTTGTTTCATTTCAAACCCATTGTGTTGGTGTATAGAGCCAAAAAGATTAGATTTGTGTTGATGTCCCAATATTTATGGACCTGATTGTAAGTGTTTGCCTGTTGGCTGCTTAAGTGAATATCCCTGTAAATCTCTTTGCTCTCTATTGCATTGTGTTGGAAAATGATAAGAAACTGAACTAATCTTTTTGAATACCAATACCATAATTGTATGGTTGCTAGAAAAACTGCTACTTTTTGTTTCCCCCCATTGTTTTTAACCCCAGAATATCAGTAAATGGAGAACAAGGTTGGATACTTCAAGAAACCCTGAAAACAATTGCAGATGTATAATATGAATATCAGTTTTAGCTGAAGTGTTTAGTCTAAGCAGAAATTCCAGTTTTTGAGTTCTGTTAAAAATGCTAAGTCATCGTTACATGTACATTGATTCAATGATTTTCAATTTTCTATAAGTTAAAGGGGTTGGTCTGTTTAGTCATTCTTATGCACAATACAAACACAGAATACTTACACATGACTTGAAATAGAGATAAAATAAACTGCCTGATCATCCATTGTAGGTGTTTTTTACAAAATAAAAAGCTGGGTTAGAGCCAAAGGAGAAATAAGATTTCTGAGAAGACGATAAATTGGCAGCTAGCAGAGCCAGCGAAAGCCAGAATAAAGGTAACTAGGACATTTTAGTAATATCAGTATGGGAAATATGGTTTTAATGTGACAGGTCATCACTGTGCTACATGTGCTACAGTATTCTAAAACAGTGTGGCTCCACTTTATATTTTAACTTTGCTAGGGATTCCTTCAAGTACCACGACCAATTTAGCATTCAAAAGATTGAGTTGGTTATGATGCAAGGACGCTGCAAGTGTAACTCCATGTCGACAGTCTCTATGTGTGAATGCAGAGGTTTTTCATGTAGACTGTAGAGTGTAGGGGTGTGAATACAAAAGTGAACTTTAGTGGGGAGCCAGTGTATGTACATGCATGGGTGTTTTAAGAGAATTGTCAGCATTTGTGAATACATATGTGCATTTGCAGGAGTGTTAGCATATGTGAATGTAGGTCTATAATTTTGTGGTGTGTTGTGGCAAGTGTGTATTTCTGTCTTTAGTCAGTGGGTCTGGACAGGGGAGCACTTGTGGAAAATATCAGTATGAGTGATGTCAATTTATATGAATACAAATGTGTTTTTGTGTAGGACGTTAGTGAGTGGGGATGCACGTATGTAGATGCATTTTATTCCCTTGACTATGTCTCATTCCTACTTTTGAGTCACTTGTGCATTCCCTTCCTCTTTCTATCTCTACGTCAAATTTGAAATCCTCATCTTCAATTTGAAATGGGCAGCCATGAAAACACTAAATGCATGCAACACAACTTTTCACTAAGGTTTTTCAAACCCTACCCTTCCAGCAATGGAAGCATGGATTAGGGAGGGACCACATTCAGATGCCTTCCCATTTCTTTAAAGAAACACTCTTAACACATAAAGCACTTTAGCTAGTGTTTATAAATAAGCAATAACACAAACTCCAGAAACAGGCGATGCACACCCAGGTCATTGGGATTCCCTGTGAAAACAGAGAACAATCTCTAAACAATGGAAGAAGGTCCTATATCCCTTAAGTATCAGTATAACATTATAGTGGAAAGAAACCCTTATATTACAAAAACACAATAATAACTTTATTTGAAACATTTAAAAGGCAACAGCGCACACACTCTAAAATACACACGTTATGCAGACATTTCTCTTGGTAATAGAAACATGACAGCTAATAAAATTAAATACAATGTTGCACCTTTTAGAAAAATTCCCAAGACTACAAACTTCTGAAAGATCAAGTTGCATTTTCTACCAAATAAAGTAGAAGTGAGGAGGATGGGAAGACAAATATGAGAGTAAAGTAGAAAAGAAAAGAATGGTAGTAAAGGTAACAGGTAAATATTGGTAAACCAATAGAATATTGAATAATAATATAGAATATTAATTGGTACACAGCAAATATCAATTTAGCTTTAGTTCCTTACTGATTTATTTTTTTATTTTTTTTATTTAGTGAAAAATAGATCTGTCACTTTTCAGTATTTCACAAAGATATCTTTCTGAAAAACTGATAAATGGGGAAAAAGCACAACCTCTCAAGAATGAGAGAGTGTTATATGGGAATGTAAGAAAAAAGATGTGACATGTAGAGTTAGGTCATGCCAACGGATGCACTGGTTTTGCATCTTCTGAGAAACTGGTAATAATAATTTTGTGTGTCTATAGTAATTGATTACCGTTGCTGTTTATCAGCGTACTACCAGCACTGCTATTTTTTACTTTACTATTTCTCCTTCATTTATTATCTGTTCCTGCCATTCTTTAGGCAAGTTTCTATTTAGGCACTGGTTATTGTGTATCGTTTTAATTAGATATCATAGCGCTAAATTCAACCCTTAGTGCCGTTGGTTGTGCCCAAGCCTATGATATATGTGTAGGGCTGCACCCTCATTATTCAAAGATATATACCTTCGGCACGCTATCAGTACGCTATTTAGTACCTTGATTTGCCGACATGCATATATAGGTACACTCTCAGGGTGCAGTTCAGTAGAGTGCTGTTAGCACAGTTAGTCTTTTCTTCACTTCATTTTTCATTTTGTTTGCCATTCTGCTGCACTATTCCTATTACCTTTTAGTCAAACTCTCTTCGAGACATTAGTTATTATACTTGACATATCGTTTGATCTCACAGCACTTGAGTGCATCTCTAGTTCTGTGGTGTCATGTTTAACGTAATGATATAGGTTTAGGGGTGCACCTTTATTATTCCTACATCCACATTCTTCCAGCACCCACAGCACGCTGTTCAGAACTTTGATCTGCCGACTTACATATTTAAATTTTCATACATATAGTATATTTCTACATTTACATTAATATACCTATTAGTGTGATTGGGCACATAGGTTATACATTTCCTTTTGGAGCTCTCACTATCGTTTTCTATTCAATTGCACATCATTGCTGGCACCTTTATATCCTTCGCCCTGTCTCTGTGCGCAGACGTGCGCCTCTACTGTGTCTATGTTAATGTGCTTAGAAATCAGAGGTTATCCTATTCCATATATACAGATACCGTGTTTTTAAACTTTTTTCTGATGTTTTGCTTATCCTGCACATCTCATCTTTCATTGTTTTCATTAATATATAATTGACTCTCAATAAATTTATTTTTTATTTTTTGACCCCGTGGTCCTTTTAGATGAGCCTGTATTTTGTATCTTTGACAAAAGGACCAGGCTCATACTAGTCCTCTCCCTATTTTATAGGTACACTTCCTAATTGTTTTGTACTCATTTCCATTAGGGGTTATCCCCCTGTCTCCTGTGTACCTTGGCTGTATTCAAGAAAGTTTTCCTTCTCTGCGACATTGTAAACATTTCAACAAAAATACATAAGTATAAAATCAGTGCATGATTCCACTGTTTATAATATATTTTCAGCAGTTACTGAAAGTGCATTTTATACTTTTGTTTCTGTTCAGCATTCCAATGGCAAACGAAGCACAGCCTTGCCCATGTGCCATTGGAGATCTGTTTGATTATAAAGGACTTGGACAGGAAATACAAATTGACCACATAAAAGCATATGTGTGCAAATCGAAGATTCCATCAGACAAAGCAGTGATTGTAATTCAGGATGTGTATGGATGGGAGCTTCCTAACACAAGATTATTTGTCGATCTACTTGCCTCTCATGGTTACACGTAAGACGTGCTTTTTTATTATCTTTTTGTCTGTGTTTTGCTGTTTTTGCATGTTTTGAAAATAATCTTACATTGACAGTGTTATTCAAGTTAACAATTGAGAGTTAATTCAAGCAATTTCAATGTTTTCATTAAACAGTAGTTTTGGTTGTAGTGACCCCTTTTGTGCTGGTATGCCCCACCCAAACGCCAAAACTTTTTTTAAATAAAAGACTTACATATACCTCTTTTCCCCCGCCAAGGCCAAGTTTTTCCTCTGCCCAATACAAACGTATTTGGGTCACTATAATGTTAAAACTGCAGGCCATCTGCTCCCCTTGGCTCTCTTTAAAAAGGTAATAAGCTTACCTTGATTCAAGCACCGTATGGGTCCACTGTGGCAGGCTCTGCCCCCCGCCCTACCTCCTTGGCTGAGATAATCGATTTTGGAAAACATAGAACACATTGGGAGGTTATCAATCATGCATGGGAAATTGCTGCCTCATGCCATGCCAAGTCAATCAGCATCTCCTCATAGAGATGCACTGAATTAGTGCATCTCTGTGAGGAACATTCAGTTCCTCCATGCAGGGCGTAGAGATGCTGAACGTCTGTGCTTCACATTTTGCAGTGCTGACCCAGGAAGCATCTCTAGTTGCTGTCTGAGTGAAGCAGTAATGTAAACACTGCCTTTTCCCTGAAGCCCTCAGGGACAGGATATAGACACCAAAACCATTACATTAAGCTATAGTTGTTCTGGTGACTATAGTGATCCCCTAACTTAGTACACTTAAATGAACACTATTAACCAAAACAAGTGGTTTATAAATCATTCATCTGCTGTCTTACTGCTTAATTCTCTACCATTTAGGAATTAAATCACTCTGTTTATGCATTCTTCATTACAATTCCTCTAGCTGAGATGTACACTGAGTCTCTACAAACTTCCCAATAGAGTCTAAATGTTTTAGCTTCTCTTACTGCAGTGTATTTAATTTAGAATTTCTGCTCCTGCTCTATTAATGTTCTGTTAGAGTCTGCAACACCCACCTGTGTGTGATCACGATCAAATAACATAGCAAGAGTGACAGTTTTCTAAAGTAAACACACCGTGCTATAAGGTTCTGATTAAAATTAAAGGGATACTTAAAGCACCAAAAAATGTAAGCTAAATGCTCCATTCTCTGCCATTAAGGAGTTACGAATCAATTTTGTTTCGGTTTATGCAGCCCTAGCCACACCTCCCCCATTTTCCATGTTGGCTGTGTGAGTCACAGCCAGTTGAGCCACTAATGTGTCTTTTGGAACTGCCTTCCAGAGCTAATGACTTGAGGAATCATGCATAGTTGTCACACATGAGGCCAAATGAGCCAGAACATCACTTACATGTTTCTCCACTGTGGTTAATCTGTCTTCAAGTGTTCTGGTGTCAACTCTGAGTTTCCTCCCATCAGCTGATAATAGTTTAATGTCCAGAAATAAGGGTTTAAAATCTTCTTTAGTTGAAGGAAGAGTAACATCATCATTGGGAGATGGAGATAGGCATCCTCAGTGGAGGAAGAACTGCCATCATACACAGCCACTGTGTTAATAAATGAACGAGGTTGTGAAGTCATTTGCTAAGTCTAATATCTGTTTTGAAGGAACATGGTGCATCAGTTAAAAGAAGGTTAACACAAGTTACAGATGGTTTTCCATGTTTTATTCAATGTTGTAAATTCCAGAGAAATGATAGTTCCAATGAAAGTGTATCTAAAGAAAACTCTATTTTAAATATATTAAATAGACATTTACATGATTTATAAATCAAAATCAAAAGACCACCCAAGTGCAGTGAATATAATGGGGATAAAGATTAGTTACTTCCCTCTGAGTCTAGGCTGTAACAAAGGATTCCTCAGATCCTCACAAACAAATATACAAAACAAGATACACCTAGAAAGAACAAAAGCAGAGAACATTCATAGGGAAACATCGTTTAGTAGAAATATCCCTGCTGTAAATATTGCACTCACAGAATAAAGGAGTAATTCAGGCCCATCAAGGTTTCTTTAAATCTTGCAATGAGATTCCTCAAAGATACATGCAAAAGAAGAAGAAAAAAAGTGGAAAATAAGAAGGCCCATCAAAGGTCTGTATCCCTCTCTCCAAGATGGTAAGATGGAAAAAAACAGGTAACAGAGATTTCAGGCAGAAATCAAAAACAGCTCTACGCGTTTCGTCTATATAATAGACTTCATCAGGAGCAGTAACAATAAAACATATAATATAATAAAATACAATACATAAATAAAAGTCCTGTGTCTTCTGCCTTCTTTTTAAAAGTCCCTCTCGCCGTATTCCACACCCTATCCATTTTTTTCCATCTTACCATCTTGGAGAGAGGGATACAGACCTTTGGTTTTTTTTATCTCCTGCTCTGTAAAATGATCTTTAATCACATACAGGAGACTCCTGTAGGGTCTAGCAAGCTAAATACAGAGTAGGAGATAGAAAATTATAAATTAAACAGAATTTGCAATAAAGGAAGTGTAAACATTAGAAGACTCTTTACAGGAAGTGTTTAGGAAGGCTGTGTACGTCGCGTGTGACTAAAGATGTATAAACAAAGTAATCTAACTCCTAAATGGCAGGAAATTGAGCATTGAGACTGCAGGGTCATGATTTCTACACCAAGCTAAGATGTTTTGTGACTATAATATCAAAGTAGCTGGCCAAGAAGGACTTGGAGAATGTGTCCACTTACTTTAAAACCAATTACTTTGGCCTTAAATTCGAAATTCACCTAGAATTCACTTTGAATTTCTGACAATCATCACTTTAGTAAATAACCGTTTTTATTTGGTCAGCGGATTACCAAACTCTGCTTAAATTGATTTTACCTGTTTTACACACACAATTTTCAATATATTTGTTTTCTTCTATAGTGTATTCATTTATTAGCCTTACAATATGTATTAATTAATTCTACTGAATTTTAACCATCTAACCACTAAATAAATAAATAGCCACTGATAGAATAAAAGTTGCATAGTGTCATCTGAACTGTAACTACTTACCTAGTGACATTCAGTTGAATGATGATACATTAAAATGTTGTTTGCAATAGTTATTAATAACCATGGCAGTAAACTAGCCCCATCACAACTAGAACTAGCAGTATAATCAAGCAAAAGTCCAGTTGGTAAATACTATGTTTACTGTTATTATTATTTTAAATATTTTATCACAGTGCTGTCCTTGCTGACTTTTTTGTGGGTAAAGAACCGTGGAAATCAACCAACGATGCTTCCACTTTTTTTCAATGGCTTGAAACCAGACCACCCTATAAAGTTGACAAGTAAGTATGGTATGAGCTATAAACATAGCAATGGAATGATCATGAATGTTACTTATAATATTTTTTTCACTTTTTAATTCCTTTAAATGTGATTGAATTAGATTATCCGTTTTGACATTTTTACATGGTCAGTAATATTTTATATCCAATGTTATTAGTTTACTTTATTTTTATTGAATTCACTTCTAGTATAAAGGAATATTATTAAAAATAATAGCTATAGAGATAGTGAATAGAGAGATGGAACAATGACACAGAATGCAATGTGCAGGTTGTGTATTAAATAAATATATTTATAGTTGATATATTAACTAGCATTGGTAATAAGCTCATACTTGCCAAACCTCTTCAAGCTAATGCCAGAAAATAGTTAAAGAATTGCGAGCTGGAGAGTTAATTATATACTTCAATCAGTGCACAAATAATCTTAAACAAACAGCAGAGCATACAAAGTCTTTGTGGGGGTTGTGGGTGAAGTCACATATTGTTTGATTGAATTTTGGACCTTGAAATGAGTATCCCCTTGTGTTTAAATAAACTAAGAATATAGACTTTTCAGGGTATGGGTGCATAGGTGAAATTGCATAGGATTGACTGAGGATGCAAAAGTAGCACATCAACTACAAAAGCTAAAGGGGCTCAGACTTAAAAGAAAATAGGGAAGCGACATGTTTAAATTTAGCAGGGTTGTAATAACAAAGCAGCAGCATGTAGAAGATCTCAAAGGCAAAACAAGGCTGGAAGAGAGAGAGAGATGGGAAGTGAGGCAGGACAAGAAATAAACACACTTCCTCTCCAGCCCCATAGAGATCACAGAGGACAGATAGTAAAATGTCACCAGTGACAACACTTCCAGACCAGGCACCAGCAACTATTACTTAGAATCCCCTTCTCAATAATGCCTAATTTGAACGTACTCAATTTATCTTCAAGCATAGCTAAAAAAAAAAAATGCCCCTCTGCAAGGTTTTTATGAAAATGTCACAAATATTGCATCTTAATAAATCCTTTGTGGTACAGGTCTTCTGTTGCATGACATCAATGCCTATGTGCTTTGTGTTTGCACTTTTTCTGCTTGTACCTGCTTTATACCGCTCTGGTTGTCATCCACCAATCTGATGGACTTTGGCTGTTGTATGGATAAGCCATTGTGCTTTCATGCATCTGTTCTGCAGATGGACTCTGCTTCTGTTGAAGAATGCACCTCTAATTCTTGCTTACAACTAGTCCAGCAGATATGACGATTCCTGTATAACACGACTACTTATAGTTTTATGATCTAGGTAGATAACTCTAGTTTAAGAGGAGCAGATGCACTGAGAGATTTTACTAATCTCTTGAGTGCAATCCAGTTTATTTCACTGAACATCTTACTTTTCTGCACAAGATTCCAATTGCAGGTGCAATGTTGGATCTGCAAGTTGTAGCCAGGTACAAAAGCTGACCTTCGTTTGTTTTTACATGTTGTTGGGTAAAGTCTCACTTTCATCAGACTCTCTGAGAAAGTTTGTACACATGGATGTAGCTATAGAATGGGATTCTTTGAGATCATAAGCTCTATTAAATCTAGAACTATGTGCCTTTGATTGAGAATTTAGCTACCTTTGCTATCTCTTTCTGCTTGCATTCCGAGATAAAAGGCTAAATTTCCCATTCTTGTCACTTATACTTCTTTGTTGAATTGTGTAACAATCTTTGTACTTTCCCTTTGTCTTTCACTGCGAAAGATCTATATAAACCAGCAGATACGTTAATTTTCCATATCTTTGTCTGGTAAATAGATAAATACTTTGCAGCTAGTTCAAAACCCTATTTTCCTTTCTATAGTTGTATTCTAGATATTTATTTGTTTCAAATTAACAATATAAAGTTCTTAATCTATTTTACCATTTAAGAAATGTGATTTTATATCCAGCTGTTTTACATGAAACTATTTATATACTGCAGTTGTTAGATATTTTGCTGTGCTGAACTTGACTACAGGTGCGAAGGTCTCGTCGCCATCATCTCCATCCTTCTAAGTAAATCCTCTAAGCCTACCCATAATTCCTTGGCTGTCTTAGCTTTTAATGTGGCACAAATCACTGTTACTCACATAAGTGGAGGTCTCAGCTCTTGCTTTCCTGTTCTTTGTCTCCTATTGGATTCTTTCTGCATCAGCTGGTGGTGGTTACAATTCAATTGTTTCCCAGAAATCCTTTCTCACAAGTTCATTCTGCATTTTAAAATTCCATAGCAGTTAATTTGTATATGTGAGAGCAGGCACAGCAACACCCATAACATTCAAAGCTCCAATATATGTAACTATTATTCTAGCTTTTTAGATTGTATTGACAATTTGATTGGGTAACTAAAATAATATATCAAGGTGGTGAAGTAGACATTGCTTACCTAGATTTCAGTAAGGCTTTTGACACTGTTGCACATAGAAGGATTATCTATAAACTGCAATCTTTGAGTTTGAATCCCAACATTGTTGAATGGGTTAGGCAGTGGCTGACTGACAGGCAACAGAGGGTTGTAGTCAATGGAATATATTTATAGCAATGTCTTGTTACCAGTGGTGTACCTCAGGGATCTGTACTTGGACCCATTCTCTTATATTTTTCTCTAAATATTTTTATTAGTGATATTGCAGAAGGTCCTGATGGTCAGGTATGTCTTTTTGCTAATGATACAAAGATTTGCAACAGGGATCATGTTCCAGGAGGGATAAGCCAAATGGCAAATAATTTAGGTAAACTAGAAAAATGGTCAGAGCTGTGGCAACTGACATTTAATATGGATAAGTGCAAGATAATGTATCTTGGGCGCAAAAACCCAAGGGTAGAGTATAGAATGTTACATAGTTACATAGTTGAAAAGAGACTTGCGTCCATCAAGTTCAGCCTTCCTCACATTTGTTTTTTGCTGTTGATCGAAAAGAATGCAAAAAACCCAGTTTGAAGCACTTCTAATTTTGCAACAAACTAGGAAACAAATTCCTGCTTGACCCCAGAGTGGCAGTCAGATTAATCCTTGGATCCTGCATTGAAAAATTATATCCTTGAATATTCTGTTTTTGCAAGTATGCATCTAGTTGCTGTTTGAACATCTGCACCGACTTCTTCAGGCAGAGAATTCCCCATCCTTATTGTTCTTAAAGTAAAAAAGTTTCTTTGCCTTAGACGAAATCTTATTTCTTCCAGTCAAAAACGCGTGACATTGTGTCCTATGTAAAGTCCAGTTTGTGAATAGATTTCCACACAATGGTTTGTATTGGCCCCGGATATATTTGTATAATACTATCATATCCCCTCTGAGGCAACGTTTTCTAAACTAAAGAGGTTTAAATTTGTTAACCTTTCTTAATAGCTGATATGTTCCATTCCTTTTACTAATTTTGTAGCCCGCCTCTGCACTTTTTCTAGTGCCATAATTTCCTTCTTTAGAACAGGTGCCCAAAATTGCACAGAATATTCAAGATGTGGTCTTACCAGTGATTTATAAAGAGGCAAAATGATATTCTCATCCCGAAAATTAATGCCCTTTTTCATGCATGATAATACATTACTGGCCTTAGCCACTGCTGATTAACATTGCACATTGTTGCATAGTTTGTTGTCTATAACAATTCCCAAGTCCTTTTCGTGTGTTGTTATCCCTAATTCGCTTCCAATAAGGGTATAAGTTGCTTGTGCATTCTTTACGCCTAAGTGCATAACTTTGAATATTTCAACATTAATTTTCATCTGCCATTTGAGTGCCCAGTCCCCCAGTCTATCTAAATCCCTCTGCAGCAAACTAATATCTTGCTCACATTGTATTACTTTACAGAGTTTTGTGTCATCTGCAAACACTGAAACGTGACTTTTTCAAGATCATTTATAAACATGTTAAATGTTAAATGTCTGATACAGTCTTAACCTCAACATCTGATGAAAGGTATTTAGGGGTAACTATATAGGATGACTTAAATATAGGCAGCCAATGTAATAGAGCAGAAGGAAATGCTAGCAGAATGCTTGGTTGTATAAGGAGAGGTATTAGCAGTAGAAAGAGGGAAGTGCTCATGCCATTGTACAGAACACTGGTGAGATCTCACTTGGAGTATTGTACACAGTACTGGAGACCGTATCTCCACAAGGATATTGATACCTTAGAGAGGGTTCAGAGAAGGGCTACTAAACTGGTTCATGGATTGCAGAATAAAATGACCAGGAAAGGTTAAAGGAACAAACTTGAATAGCTTGGAGGAATGACTAGACAGGGGGGTATGATAGAAACATTTAAATTCATAAAGGAAATCAACAAAGCAAAGGAGGAGAGTATACTTGAAAGAAGAAAAACTACCATAACAAGAGGACATAGTCCTAAATTAAATGGGCAAAGGTTTATCTTAAATAATTTCAGGAAGTATTACTTTACTGGAGAGGTTAACACAGTGAGGGAGTTTAAGCATGTGTCGGATAGGCATGAGGATATCCTAGACTTAAGATAAGGCCAGGGACTAATGAACATATTTAGAAAATTGGGTAGACTAGACGGGACAAATGATTCTTTTATGTCGTCACATTCTATTTTTCTTCTTCTTTGGGCCAGTAACTCAAATGTTAATTATTAGTAGAGTTGTATTAGTACACCAGCATGTAGAAGTCAGAACAGGTCACACAAAAAATTCTCAAAGGCAAAATATGGCTGCATGTAGTGAGAGACAGAGAGATAGAGAGAAAGAAAGAAAGAAAGAGAGACAAGACAAGAAATTAATATACTTCTTCTCCTGCACAATAAAGACTGCAGAAGACAGGCAGTCAAATGTCAATAGCAACAATAAGTCCTCCAACACACATACCACACATACCTGTGAATCAGGACACCAGTGGGAGGGGAGAAAGGAGGTGGACTTGTCCATAAAGGGGTGGATCTGCACAAAGGATTGGCAGGCTGCATGTCCATCATCTAGGCGGGCCCACTGAGGTCAGACCCTGGAGGGAGCCCTGTTTCAGTGCTATCTGTAAGGTTCTAATGCCCAAGAGGATAGCACAAGAGATGGCGGAACAGCCTCCCAAAAACTGGGAAACTCTTGCCAAAATCGGTATGGTATAGATGCCTGAACTCATCCAGACAAGGCACCAGAAAATATACACAGTACAGGACTGAAAGCATACAATGGATATGTGTGAGGAATATGTTAACTGTTTCGTTATTGATTGTCAAAAGTGAGCACAAAGGTAGCAGTGAGGAGACATGCTATATTGCAGGATATTAACATGTTTTTTTTATTAAAGTTGGAATTCAAAGTCAATTCAAAGTCAATTTCAAATTTAAGGGCAGAGTAGCTGAATTGTATGTATAGCTTAATGAGGTTTTTTTCTCGTTTGGTTATGTTCACCTTTAACTTAAAATTTACTTTGAATTCATCTTGAATTCTTACTTTAGTGAATAACCCTGATAGTCTGCAATGTGGAGTCCTGAAGATGGTTGCGCTGTACAACTCATATACAATGAATACATTTAGTGACTCACCATTTGGAGAAAGCCTAAAAACTATGGGTGATTGTAAGGAGATGCTGAAAGCAGCCAACATCTGCATATCGACAAATATTCTCATTTATAACCAATACTTTTATTTCCAACTTTTAAATAATTTGAAATAGTAACTCCTAATTGTCTCTTCTTATCTGTGAGTGATTAAAATGCAATTCAAAGAAGATTATTTGACTCAGAATTTTTGAAAGTAAAATATAAATGGCAAAATGTTGACTAGGATAGCGAAGTTGTGACTATAGCCGAGTTGGAAAATTTTCAATTATTTTTGCCTTTTTTTTTGTCTTTATGATTGCAGTTTGCTATAATTCAATGGTACGAGAAATAAGTGTTGCTGCCATTATATGTTTGTAGACCCTTAAAGAGCTATTTACTATTTACTCCTTCTTTCTTATCTCATCAAGCAATTCTTCTGTTGTCTATAAATAAGGATATATTGCCTAATATACTTTTAATATCTGTCGTCAATATACACTTTAAGCTTACCTGTTCCAATCCCTAATGCAAATTATCTTTAAAATGTACTCTCTATTTAAAAAAATACAAATATTGCTTGCATCAAGTAGATATATTACATCATATTTATTATCTAAAGCAATGTGTTTCTTATATCTCTAGGGACAAACGGTCTAATACTGATAAAAATGTTAAAATAAATTATTTTACAGGGAAGTTGATGCTGTATTGAAGTACTTAAAAGACGAATGCCAGGCAAAGAAAATTGGCGTCATTGGCTTTTGCTGGGGAGGAATTGTTACCCATTATCTCATGCTGAAGTATTCTGAATTAAAAGCTGGGGTTGCATTCTATGGTACGAAACTAGATTATGACTTTTGTGTCCAATAGGTCTTATAATATCAATGTGTTTTATAATATGGTTAATCCATCCTAATGTAAATAATAATGTCATGCATAAAGGAACACTATAGTTTTAGGGCTACAAAATTGTATTCCTAATGCTATAGTGTCCATGTCTATATCTAGCCTCCCCCACCCACCAACCCCAACCCTGCTTGCTAAAATATTAATAAACATTTTACTCACTTTTTTTGCCTTGGTGGTGCTCACCTCTCCGCCTACTGCTATGCCATCGAGAAAGCATGACCTCCTCTGGTGATAGCCCAATCCAGAGCTCTTGGGATTTGATGGACATACTTTCCTATGAGTTTCTGCACACGTGACCACATTTACTCAGTCAGTGCAGCGGAATGCCTCTAGTGACTTTCAGGAGGACAGTCAATAGAGGTGGATGTAAACATTGCAGTGCTAACAAAAACTGGATGTTTTACAATGCATGGGTAAATGGACAGGGAGGGCTACTGTACCAGACCACTTCATGGTGAATATAGTGTTCCTTTACGAAGACGCCGTAGAACAATGTAGAAATAAATATCTTCCTATAACAAGTTAAGCTATAATTTATTTTTAGCGTACATAGGCAGGGCTAGTTTAAAAAAATACTATAGCGTTAGAAATACAAACCTGTATTGAGGGACCTAATGTGCAAGTGCATCCAAACTTTCCTACTGCAAAGCATTGAATCAATGCTTTCCTATGAGGCTTCCATGTCTTGTGACCGAGCTTTACTCGATCTGTGCCGTAGAAGATCCTCTAGTGGCATGTATGTGTGAGGGCTGGGAGGTGAAGGAGAAATACTCCCCCTAAGCTCTTGCTTGTAAGCTTCTCCATCTTCTTTTTAACAGCTCCTGGTTTTTCTGCTGCTAGGAACCTTTGCTTGTGAATACTGTGGGAACTGACCAAACTTGATGGCAGAAACTCAATCATTTGTCAAGTTTTGTCAACTCGAGGCAAAGTAGTGCTATATATTTGTTGATTTAGATGGCATGTCTATGATATTCCAATGCTGCCAATACTGAGAATTTCATGAAGATTTTATTTCTATACTCAGAAATGATATTCCAATGACACAGCCACTTTAACGCTGCTTTACAATGCCATGAGATGAATGCAAGTAGTCTTAAAAAGTGTTCATAACTAATTATGTGCTTTGAAAAGTATGCAGCTGCTAACATTTGTTAATTATATTTTCTAAAACAGGCTTAGTACGTGAAGATGTGGACAAGTATAATTTACTAAATCCAACTTTGTTTGTTTTTGGAGAGAAGGATGACCTGATACCCCTTGAGCAGGTAAGAAAGTACCCTAATGTTATATCATATGATAGATTTAAAGGAGCAGTCTAGTCATCATAATCCCAACTTTCAAATGGTAAGAGATGTTTTTTGAATTTTGCTTAAAGCTAGAGGTCACTGACAATCTTACTGTGCTCACTGGAATTGCTAATACTGAAGTGTATCTTCCACAATATGCATTCATTGACTGATAGATCATCTGAAAATGATTGAAAATGGTTTGGCCAGACACCCCATGGGCATTGCCTGTAGTCTAATACCATAACCACTGCATTTACATGTATTGGTTATAATGCCTGGACTGGGAGTGGCAGAGTCAGAGGGAACTATAGTATTAGGAATACAGCTTTGTATTCCTAACACTGTAGTATTCCGTTAATATTTAATATTACCTATAATAATCTCACCTAAAATTGAACAGGACTCATAATTAGTCATAGGCGCTCATTCAATGAGTGCATGGGACTTATCATAAAGATCTTGTCACTTTTAAGTACCAAGTAAGACCATATTAGGTGCTGAAACAAACTGTAATAGGGAATATTGTATGGTTAGTCCTATTACAGGGGTCTCAAGTGAGTTTTAGGCACCTGTGAATTACAACAGAACTTCTACCAGCATATTTGGCATTCATTGTTAGCATGCCTATGGCGGCACCCACCCTTTCCCTCTCTGCCTCCCAAATCCTTTGATTTGATAAAGGAGGAGGCAAACTTGGGTGGAATAGTGAATTTCAGACCAGAAAACCTGCGTAAACAGGTTGATGCAAATCTAGTAAATATTCCTCCATTGCTTGCTGAAGTTTTACTTCTTGCCCTTTTAGAGTACATTATTTTAAAGTACCACTAAGCTCACTTAGAGCTAGTTTTCTATATGTGATACCTTTTGTATTTATATGCCAGACCAAGTTGCTCTAGTGATTGAAAATCCATACTTTTTTTTAAGGAAAACCTCACCTCATGTGTTTATTTATGTGGTTCTCCACTGTTTATTTGGTTTATGGTTATTTAGCAAAAACATATTCAAAGTTTTATTTCCTCCCTTCTAGGTTGCATCACTGGATCAAAAACTTAAAGAAAATGCTAAGGTTGACTATAAAGTCAAGGTGTTTCCAAAGCAAGGCCATGGGTTTGCTCACCGAAAGGAAGTCTCAAACCCTGAAGATAAATCTTACATTGAAGAAGCAAGAAAAGACATGCTTATGTGGCTGAACAAATATATTAAATAAACAAACTATGTACTCATGGAACCTACTAAGTCTACATTATGATTTATAAAGCCATACATATTCATATAATATTCCAAATAAAGATTTATATTAAAATGTATTGGCTTGATGCCTTCATTGTATTGCACATGTGACATATGGTAGACATACTATAAAAAACAGAATTCTATAGGTTTGCAATTTGATTTGCATGATTTGATGTTTTTTTGGATAAAATAAACATTAACATATCATAATAAAGTAGGCTCGTGTGCCTAAAAACATGCAAAAAATAATAATTTTAAAACAGTTTATCAACTTAACCCCTTAACTACACTTGACAGAAATTTTCCGTAATTTACAATAGTTAACGCCAGATCGCAGCGATCGTGGGGTTAATGCTTGTAACGGATCACCTGGCACCCCGACTGGGTACCTCCGTTGAAGGATGCTCCTAGCGCTTCCTGAGGGCTACAAGCACTCCAGCCAACACCATGACCACCGTAGACTCCTTCAGAGAGCAAGACAGGAACAAGCTCTTACAAGAGCTCAGTGATTATAGCAAGGGAATATGCAGAGCATAGCAATCCCTTGTAGCAGATTCCCCCAATAAGAGACAGGACTCAGATTTAGGGTGAAGTAGAACTGACTGTACTGGCACATACAGCCTCTTTTATTCACATTTTACACACATAGTACTGCCCACAGGGTTTTGCAGAACAAGCAATCAATACGTACAATACACACAGACACTCCCACACAAAATCTTCCCCTCTGCCTGTGATACAATTACCTTACACAATGGGTTAATGTAATTATCACCGGCAGAGAAATACAGTTTTTACACATGTACTGTAACTTTAAAAATATGCATCGTATTCACATAAAACATACATATTCAGAATCAGCATACTTTAAATATAAACCTAACCAAAAATCAGACAATTCCACCCAGTATTTCAAAAACTAGCTGGAAGTCCTTTGTGACCGACCGCAAGCACATTTTCATGCCCAAAATAGTTCCATGGATTTGGGCTGTGTGGTTGGTCTAATTTACACTGAGAAAATGACTAAGTCCCATTCGAACAAGCGTTCGAATCTTCGAACGGGACTTAGTCTCCAGCCGCAGTGTCGAAGCGGCGGAGAAGATACGGGTCAGCTGTGTTCGTGCAATTGGGTATCCGAAAACAGTTCCATAGATTTAGCTGCACACACCGATGACCGCGTTCAAATGAGTTAAAATGTCTGCCGCCACGTGTTCGTTTGTCGAATGGCGGCCACTTCGACTACTTCGGCACTTCGGCTGTATCCGAAGTGCCAATTTAAAGTTGCAACACTGCTTCAAAGTGATTAAAGGGCCATAAACAGCATTATAAAAATCCATTATGCCCAAATACTGTGTTTAAAGTGCCCAATCTCCCAGGGGCCATAATCATAAGGTAGGAGGCTGGCAATCAGGCTCCTCCAAATCCCAGGGGCAAAGGACAGTGGGTCACATAAACAGCTAGTGACAAAAGGTAGTTTGTCACAACGCTGTTGCTGAGAGCCTCGGCGTTTGAGGAAGACCAGCAACAGCCAATAGCCCGGCACATGTGATCGCTGTGACAAAAAAAAATTATTTTTTTTAACCCTCAGGGTTAAATATATTTAATTTATATAAATATATTTAATTTATAATTTGTTTAACTTTTATTTTCAGTTATTTAGTTAGCTGGGGTGGATGGAAGTTAGGGGAAATTGGGGATTCTAACATTAGGGTAGCTAGGAAGTTGAGTAGTTTTAGAAAGATTTAGAAAGGTCTTAAAAATTTAGAAAAGTGTAAAAAAGTGAAAAAAAGGAAAAAAGAGAAAAAAATGTTTTTTTTTTTTAAGTTAAAGCATTTCTGCTTTGCTAAGTATAAGCACTGGGTTAAGCAGTGATCTGATTTCTGGTTAATTTTTTTAAACGTTTTTACACGTTTTAGAAAGTTTTTAAGAACTTTTAAAAAGTGAAAACAAGTATTAAAAAAGTTCAGAAAAAAAGTAAAAAAAAAGAATACATTATTTAGTTAAAGTTAATTTTAAGTTTTAACCATGCTTAGAAGGTTTAGTGCCGAGGAGGCATATAATATATAAGCGGATGACTCGGAGGCAACCAACACTGCCTCAGAGATTGCAGGAGGTGACTATGTGCCAGGCATAAAGAATTAATTAAAATTTAAATAAAGAATTTGGAACAATTTATACTCCTCAAAAGAATATATGTATAGACAAGTCCCTCATGAAGTACAAGGGTAGACTGGGGTTTAAGCAATACATCCCAGCAAAAAAGATGCCGGTATGGCATCAAGCTATGCAAGTTATGTGAAAGTAGCAGTGGGTATGTTTAAACCTTCAGAGTATATAAAGGTAAAGATAGCCACCAGGATCCCCCAGGTTGCCCTGATGTAATTGGTGAAGTTTTAATATGGTGGGGACTTGCATGCTAGACTTTACCACCGACAGAACAATTATTTAGTTAGTACCTCTCGTGATATAGCTGTACAAAATTGTTAGAACTCAAAATTCCACTTCAAGCAATAAAACTATGCAGCACGGAACTGCATAAAACATACATAAAGTCTATTTAGTATAACATGAATAGTTAAATGTATTTATTTTACCATCTAGTGACCAAATGATCAAATTACAGTCACAGGAACACTAATACTACATAAAATAGACTTGTAATCTCCTAAGCAGAATGAGAAGAGTGTTGGGGAATTTACAGGAGGCCATCACCTTAATAATGGTAATCACTGCTACTTCAAATCAGAATTACATTGTGTGCCACCAATGGTTGATGGTGTCCAGGTCCGCCATCAAGGGTCCAAGACCCATGCCCTATTTTTCCAGTATACACAATGAGTCACTATAATAAACTTGTGGACCTGTAGACAGCAGTAAAAACCGACATTATATTTTAACAGCTTTAGCAAACAGATGTTAGTAGGTTTTATGCATTTTGGGGCAACTTTGTCTTATGTGTGCACAGAAGACAAAGTTGCCCCAAAATGTGTAAAACCTACTGTTTGCTATAGCTGTCAAAATAAAATGTGGGGTTTACTGCCATCTAGAGGACATTTTATCAAATTACACTACAGGAACACTAGTGCTACATAAAAGAGAAGAAATTTGTGTATTTACAGCTATCAGCATAAGACACTGTAGGCCTCCAGATCACTTCAGCCCATTGAAGTGGTCTGGGTGCCAACTCCCATCACCCTTCACCCTGCAAGTGTAATTATTGCAGTTTCTATAAACTGCAATAATTACCTTGCAGGGCTAAGTCCTCCTGTAGTGGCTGTCTACCAGACAGCCACGATAGGGACTTTCAGCTATTTAGACGACTTTTGGATGTTCAGCGTCACTGGAATCCCCATAGAAAAGCATTGGATGCCACACATACGCATTAGGTCGGAGCCTGAACCAGCGCCAAGGGACATCGGCACTTTTTTTTATAAACATAGCAGTTTCAGAGAAATATATAGCAGTTTCGGAGAAATATGGTTAATCCAGCCTCTAGAGCCTCTAGTGGCTGTCTTACTGACAGCCGCTAGAGGAGCTTGCGTGCTTCTCACTGTGAAAATCACAGTGAGAAGACGCCAGCGTGCTTACAATGCTTTCCTATGAACCGGCTGAATGCGCGCGCGGCTCCTGCCGCGCATGGGCATTCAGCCGATAACGTCGCTATGAAGGAGGAGAGGAGAAGAAGAGCTCCCCACCCGGCGCTGGAGAAAGGTAAGATTTAAACCCCTTCCTCTCCCTAGAGCCCGGCGGGAGGGGGACCCTGAGGGTGGGGGCACCCTCAGGGCACTATAGTGCCAGGAAAACGAGTATGTTTTCCTGGCACTATAGTGGTCCTTTAACCTGTTTAATTATGTACACCTCTTTTGCTTAAATATGCACACCTCTTAAAGTCTCAAACTTTCTGTTAGCAAGCCTATACAGTTGTAATCAAAATTATTCACTGAAAAACAGGTTTATTGTCAAAATGTACACTTTCAGCTGTTTGCAATAAAACAAATCAAAGAAAAGCAGTTGAAATAGTTCAAAACAATGAACAATGAAGGTGTTTTCCCCAAATTCGACTGAAAAGGCAACTTATAATGACTTCTCCAGTCTCAAAATTATTCTTATAACTTGGGAAACAACATGTATTGGGAAAATAAATCACCTCTGTGTAAACCGATTTCCATGTGCTATAGACTCCTACTACCAGACACTCAGTTCTCTACCACGTCCCAAGCCAAACGTTGGGCTACTGAGCTACACTGCTCAATCACACAATCCCAATGGCATATCTCCTACTAAACCTCATGGACGAGACACCCTCGCATAAGCTGAAATTGATACTGCACATACTCCTGACAGCGCATCGGTTGATAGGGCATGGAAACAACATACGGCACCCCTCATTTCCCCTCACCTGCTAGAATGAGATAAACATGCAATTCATGAATATCACCACCGGAGCGTTTTTACTTAAACTAAATGTGTAATTGAGACATGGGAGCTCTGGCATGCATGGATCTCGGTACCACTTTAACTTTGTATCATTACTGTACCTTGAACAATCACCTGGTTTTCCCCTTTTTGACTCCTCACCTTGTTGTTCTGACAGCTACATACACTGCTCAAAAAATAAAGGGAACACAAAAATAGCACATCCTAGATCAGAATGAATTAAATATTCTTCTGAAATACTTTGTTCTTCACATAGTTGAATGTGCTGACAACAAAATCACACAAAAATTAAAAAAATGGAAATCAAATTTTTCAACCTATGGAGGTCTGGATTTGGAGTCACACTCAAAATTAAAGTGGAAAAACACACTACAGGCTGATCCATCTTTGATGTAATGTCCTTTAAACAAGTCAAAATGAGGTTCAATAGTGTGTGTGGCCTCCACGTGCCTGTATGACCTCCCTACAATGCCTGTGCATGCTCCTGATGAGGTGGCGGATGGTCTCCTGAGGGATCTCCTCCCAGACCTGGACTAAAGCATCTGCCAACTCCGGGACAGTCTGTGGTGCAACGTGACGTTGGTGGATGGAGCGAGACATAATGTCCCAGATGTGCTCAATTGGATTCAGGTCTGGGGAATGGGCAGGCCAGTCCATAGCATCAATGCCTTTGTCATGCAGGAACTGCTGACACACTCCAGCCACATGAGGTCTAGCATTGTCTAGCATTAGGAGGAACCCAGGGCCAACCGCACCAGCATATGGTCTCACAAGGGGTCTGAGGATCTCATCTCGGTACCTAATGGCAGTCAGGCTACCTCTAGGGACCAAAAGGAGGGCTGTGCGGCCCCCCAAAGAAATGCCACCCCACACCATTACTGACCCACTGCCAAACCGGTCATGCTGGAGGATGTTGCAGGCAGCAGAACGTTCTCCACAGCATCTCCAGACTCTGTCACATCTGTCACATGTGCTCAGTGTGAACCTGCTTTCATCTGTGAAGAGCACAGGGCACCAGTGGCGAATTTGCCAATCTTGGTGTTCTCTGGCAAATGCCAAACGTCCTGCACGGTGTTGGGCTGTAAGCACAACCCCCACCTGTGGACGTCGGGCCCTCATACCACCCTCATGGAGTCTGTTTCTGACCGTTTGAGTAGACACATGCACATTTGTGGCTTGCTGGAGGTCATTTTGCCGGGCTCTGGCAGTGCTCCTCCTGTTGCTCCTTACACAAAGGCGGAGGTAGCGGTCTTGCTGCTGGTTTGTTGCCCTCCTACGGCCTCCTCCACGTCTCCGTATGTACTGGCCTCCTGGTAGCGCCTCCATGCTCTGGACACTACGCTGACAGACACAGCAAACCTTCTTGCCACAGCTTGCACTGATGTGCCATCCTGGATGAGCTGCACTACCTGATCCACTTGTGTGGGTTGTAGACTCCGTCTCATGCTACCACTAGAGTGAAAGCACTGCCAGCATTCAAAAGTAACCAAAACATCAGCCAGGAAGCATAGGAACTGAGAAGTGGTCTATGATCACCACCTGCAGAACCACTCCTTTATTGGGGGTGTCTTGCTAATTGCCTATAATTTCCACCTGTTGTCCATCCCATTTGCACAACAGCATGTGAAATTGATTGTCACTCGGTGTTACTTCCTAAGTGGACAGTTTGATTTCACAGAAGTGTGATTGACTTGGAGTTACATTGTGTTGTTTAAGTGTTCCCTTAATTTTTCCGAGCAGTGTACATGCCATTACAATATGTGAATGTACTTGTTACCCTCCCAGGTACTAGACCAGATCCAGCCTCACATAAAACATACTGAATACCTAAGTTTCCCGCAAATGTTGTTGCATAACACAAATAACCATGCTGAAATATCAGAGGTCCACTGACAACACCCTGAATACTTGCATTGCACTATAATGTCTTACATTTTCACTTCGGACCAAATATGTATAAACCTGCTTGATTGTTTCCCTTCATCCCCCAAACCTTTTCTCTTCTGTAACCCCTGCTCCCACCCTTATTATTTGTTGGAAATAATAAAAACTGTTTGAAATAATAATAATTAAAAAAACTATTCTACCCTGAATAGAATCCCTCACAACAGCACAAATATGCAAAACAGGTGTTGTCTCAAGCATACCTGATGCAACTAATCAAGGTCTTCATTACTTGCACCAGGTGGGCATATCTGGAATACATGAAATATCTGAACTGGCTAGGGGTTCGTTGAGTGTCACTTCTGACTGCATGTTAGAAAGATAGCTAAGTCAAAAGAATGGTCCACAAAGTTAAAAGAATTGTCGCGTACTGTATATGTACTTAGTGCTAATGCTCAGTAGCATTAATATTATCATTAGAAACTTCTGGGTGGTTTCAATACCAACAGGCATATTCCTGATGTAATAGGAGTTATAGAAAAGCTAATAACTGCAGCCCCAAAAGTGTATATTGGATTTCCTGTTTGCAGCACTTACAGAGACTTTTGTGAAGGCATATAAATGTTTTAAAATTCTGTATGAACAAATATCTGTCTGTTTGGAGGAATAAGTCTAACTGTAATCCCTCTAGCACATGATTGTTGCTGGAAAATATTAGTGGCGTAGAGTGACTGAACGTAATAATCGTATTAGTGTATACTGGACAAGACTTCTGTAAAGACTTTTCCTGAATGTTTTTTTACCATTAGATGGCTCAATTGCCTTTCATATGGTCATGACTGAGGAAATGTAAATGTAAATTATAAGTCTCTTTAAAGATGCAGCCATATAAGTGCCTCACTGGACTATCCTAAATATCGGGTGTGCCAGAATATTTTATGCCTCTAAGCTTTGGTTACTATTGAACAAAGTAGCTTAAACCTCAGACACTTGTGAGTCCAATTGCATAGCCTAAATAAAATCTTACTAAAGTATCAAAGAGATACTTTTTTTTTTTTCATATTTTTCTTTCTCTTCCTGCTCCTAAACTTCCATTCATACAAGGCTTCCAGAAAAAGCCAGGAAAATAAATCCATACTTAAAAAGGAAAAGAAAGGTTATAATAAAACAGAAAAACATTTATCCTTTACATCTTCACACACTGTAAGATCAGAACAAGAGAAAGATTTAAAATCCCATCAAAAGAGAAGAAAAAGAGAACGAAGAATCTTTTAAAATCCCATATATGGAAAAAGTTCAACCCTCCCTCCAGGAGTATCTTAAGACATGTTTTAAGGTCCAGTTGGGGCAAATTAAATCAAAGATACAAACAAGTACATTAGAATTAAGGAAAAACTTCCAAGCTCTGGGTAATTAACTGAAGATAAATGAAGAAAAAATTCTTTAGTCTTTAGAATTTCAACTTGCTCAACAACAGGAAAATCGAAAGGAAAGTCAGTGACATAGAATTAAGGTTGGCGGCAGCTGAAGACAGATCTAAATGGAACAATTTAAGACTCAGAGACATACCAGAACTAGTACCAAATGACAAGCTGGAACAATATATTGCTGAAAAGAGTAGATGGATCATTCAGATATGTGAAATACAAGATATAATATATTCAATAGCCATGTATATG